CCCGCTAGGCCCGGGCGCGGGCTGCATGGAGCGAGGGGCCGCGAGGGCCGCCGCCGCCTCCGGCACTCAGGAGCCTGGGGATAGAGAGCACAGGGCTGGGGCGCGGCCGGGTCGGGCCGCTCTTGTTGGGGTCTGTTTTTGGAGTCAGGATCTCACTCTGTTGCCCAGGCTGGAGTGCAGTGGCACCAGCATGGCTCACCACAGCCTTGACCTCCAGGACTCCACTGACCCTCCTGCCTCAGCCCCCTGAGTAGCGGGGACCACAAGCCCGCATCACCATGCCCAGCTAATTTTTTTATTTTCTGTAGAGACGGAGTCTTGCTATGTTGCCCAGGCTGGTAGAACTCCTGGGCTCAAGTGATTCTCCAGGCTCAGCCTCCCAAAGTGCTGGGATGACAGGTGTGAGCCACTACCCCCAGTCCTCCTCTTGTAATATAAAGCAATTCATACTTAGTTTTCCTTCCCAAGCAAACCAGGTGGAGTCCATTGGTACTTGCAAGCTTCCCCAACCTCACCAGCCCAAAGGAGCCTCTTAAAATACCGGTCAGATCGTGTTCCTCCCCTGCGCTAAATTCTCTAACACCTCCCAAGTACTAAGAGGAAAACCAAACTCCTCAATAGCCTGCAAAGGCCCTAGGCAGTTGGTCCCTGCCTGCCTCTTCCCTTTGCTCACTCTGTTCCATCTGGCGGCCCTCCCTTCTTGGAGCATGTCAAGCTCATTCCTTCACCAACGACTACTAAGCACCTACTGTGTGCCAGGAATTGACTTGGGTACTGGAGACACAGCAGCGAGCAAGACTGCAGAAACCCTGCCCTCCTAGAGCTGACAATTGGGAAGGAAACCATCAAAAATAAAAGAAGACCCAAGTCAAAATCAAGGTCATGAAAAAAAATGGCAATAGCACAGAGTGAAAACGAGACAACTTGGTGTGGTTTCTTTTTTTTTTTTTTTGAGTTGGAGTCTCACTCTGTCACTCACACTGGAGTGCAGGGGCCCCTCCCAGCCACCGCAGCCTCGACCTGCTGGACTCCGGCGATCCTTCCGCCTCAGCCTTCCGAGTAGCCGGAATTACAGGCACGCGCTACCACGCCCGGCTGGTTTTTTGATTTATTGTAGAGACGAGGTCTCGCTGCCCAGGCGGGTCTCGAACCCGCGGGCTCTGGCCATCCACTCACCTCAGCCTCCCAAAGCGCGGGATTACAGGCTGAGCCACCGAGTCCGGCTGGTTTCTTTTTTTTTTTTATTGAGTCAGGTTCTCACCCTGTTGCTCAGGCTGGAGTGCAGTGGCATGATTATAGCTCACAGCAGCCTCAACCTCCTGGGCTCAGGAGATCCCACTGCCTCGGCCTCCCAAGTACCTGGGAGTATAGGCACCACCATGCCTGGCTAATTTTCTATTGTTTATGTATCTATTTAGTAGAGACACGGTCTCACTATGTTGCTTAGGCTAGTCTTGAACTCTTGGGCTCAAGCAATCCTCTTGCTTCGGCATCCCAAAGTGCTGGAATTAGGCGTGTGCCACTGTGCCCAGTCCCAGTGCAGTTTCTTTAGATCAGGTAATACAGGCCTCTCTGATGAGGTGTGGCTGTTGCTGAGACAAGGATGAGAATATGCAAGGAGTTGGAAAGTAGTTTTCAAGGCAGAAGAACAGTAAATGCAAGGGCTCTGAGGTAGAATGAGGCAGGCTCTGCAGTGAGGGCTGATGACTGCTGGAGGGTGTCATGGAAGCCATGGAGACTGGAGGCCAGGGGATGAGTTATGCTTTGAAAAGGATGAGGAAAGTGGAGCACAGTGGCTTAATCCCAGGGATTCAGGAAGCCCAGGTGGAAGGATCACTTGAAACCAGGAGTTTGACACCAGCCTGAGCAACATGGCGAGGCCTCGTTTCCACAAAAAAATTAAAAATGAGCCAGGTGTGGTGATGTGTGCCCATACGCAGGAGGCTGGGGCAGGAGGATGGCTTGAGCCCTGTAGTCCGAAGCTGTAGCCAGCAGTGATTGTGCCACTGGGCGACAGAACAAGACTCCCTTTTCTCTTTAAAAAAAGAAAAGAGGCCGGGCGCGGTGGCTCACGCCTATAATCCCAGCACTTTGGGAGACTGAGGTGAGAGGACTGCCTGAGTCCATAGGTTCGAGAACAGCCTGGGCAACTCGGTGAGACATCATTTCTACAGTAAATTAAAAAACTAGCCGGGCGTGATAAAGGCTGAGGTGGAAGGCTCACCCGAGCCCAGCAGCTCGCGGCTGCGGTTGCTGGGAGCGTGCTGCTGCACCCCAGCCAGGGGGACAGAGTGAGACTCCGACTCAAGGAAAAAAACCAAGAGGAAGAAGAAGAAAAGAAAGGAGGCTAGGGCGCAGCGGCTCACACCTGCCACCCCAGCCCTCTGGGAGGTCGAGGCCGGAGGATTCCTTGAGGCCAAGAGCTTGAGATCCGCTCGGGCAACAGCGAGGCCCTGTCTCCACACAATGAAGAAATGAAACAAAACAAACCCTTTCTTTAAAAAAAACTTTGGAGAAAGAAAGAGGCGGGGGATCTGCAGGGCCTCCGGGCGCCG